GCCAAAAACCTCGCAATTACATTTTTACCCGTAACTACCCTCCCAGATAACATACAGGGTTGAAACTTGGCACAGACTGGTTTTTCTTGATCACTTATCCAATGGTTCATAGCAAGTCGAATTTGGTTTGGGGGCACTTTTGACCATCTTATCCGGCTATACCCTTTATGGCAACAGGACAGTGTCGTTCATTGGCATAAAGAAACAAAGTATAGTGATGCTCGGCTAAAGGGTCTAGCCGTATAAGCATAGTGAATCGACCCCAGTAACAATTTCGGTTGATATTTATATCACATACTGCTTTTTGTCTAAACAACAATTGTGTGCAATTTCAACCCCCTACCCCCTCTGATAAGGGAGATATGAGGGTAAAACCCAAAACCTTTACCATTTTTTTTCTCAGAAACTGTTTAAGATATTTGATCACATTAAAGTGCAAATAGTAGGTATTCATTAGCTGTATATCATATTTTTTTTTCAAAATTTTTATTCGATGATTAAGGGTTGAAAATTAATAAATAAATCTTTGAAAATGATTTTTATAAACAATCCCTTGGATGACACCCACCGAAAAAATTCAGAATAATCCTTTACTATTTAACTATTATCTGTAAAAATTTCAAAAGTGTCGGATTGGTACATCATAGTTAAAAAAAAATAAAACCAATGCAACGCCCTTTCATAAGGCAAAGCCGGCCTGAACGTTAGAGGCGCTCAACCTAACCGACCTACAGGGGAATACGTAGCGCCGACCCGCCACGTTTCTCGTACCAGAAACAGCTCTCAGAAAAGTATGAGCTCTTCTTTCCCTAAACTGTGTGTTAGTTAACAGTCATTTATTTAAATAATATATTAACAATTTAAATTTTTTAATTAAGTGGGAGCCCTAAATCACAGATTTATATCATGTCTTGAACAATGGCACTGTGTTAGATGCCATTAGTTGTCCTTTTAATAGTCAAAGAAGGTATCACAGGTATAACTGCAATATCATTCTATTCAACGCTGTAAAGAACATAGACTTCTATAACTATTTCCGTCTTTACCTTTTCACGTACGTATTACTTTTAATTAAATTGTAGCTGGTACCTGTGAATAGTTGTAACTAAGATTTTCCTCGTTTTAAGTATATGGTCGCCCTGAAAAGAGTTAATTATATTATAGCGTACCAGTACTACCTGGAAATGGCTGCAATTAAGGTGACCTTCGTTTTAAGTATATGGGTGTCCAGAAAAGAGTTAAGCGCGTTTTATGGTACAAATGGTGTATTTTCCAATGCGGTTTATATGCCCTGATACTTTTTTACGCAATCACGGAGCCTAAATTGGCGTGTAAATAGACGCATCATAAAGGGTAAAGCGTACGATCCTGAGTCCATGATTTTAGTGTCCACTGTCTTGTTCCCTCTTGTTGCCGAATATAGAGGACTCGTTAATTGGATAGAATTTGCAAACTTTAAAATCTCGCGGTAAAAACGTTATCTTGCGGAATTATTGGACGAACATGACGCGTTAAATGTACAATATTTACAACAAAACAATAACATTATAAAAATGAAAGTTCGGTCGCGACATATAAACGGTAAAACTTAGAATTGTTACATAGAATACAAATCAAACGTAAATAGTTACGCGGGTATAAACCAATATGTATGCGATTGTCCGAATGGTAACAGAACGGTAGGTTGTTGCTCCCACGTCGTCGCGATCATTTATTATTTATCCCATGCGCGTTATAAATCCAGAATAGTTAAACCGTCCGAAATTTTAACTCACTTATTTGACAAAACTAACATTATTCCAGTTATTGATGAAAATAGCGACGAAGATTAAAATTTATTTACAAGCGTGTTTTTTTAAAAAAAGTTTTTGAGTTTTCTGTTTCAAATCATATACTTCAACCTGACAATACATAACACAATCAGCTCTTTTTAGGGCTTAATAATTAGCCCTTTTCAGGGCTCCCACATACTTAAAACGAGGAACACCTTAGTTGCATTTATATAAGGGTGCCATTTGTAACGTACAACATAATCAGCTCTTTTTAGGGCTCCCACATACTTAAAACGAGAAACACCGTGAAAACACGGACGTTAAAAATTAGAACCAGAAAACTTAATTAAAAAATTTAAATTGTTAATATAATATTTAAATAAATGACTGTTAATTAACACACAGTTTAGGGAAAGAAGAGCTCATACTTTTCTGAGAGCTGTTTCTGGTACGAGAAACGTGGCGGGTCGGCGCTACGTATTCCCCTGTAGGTCGGTTAGGTTGAGCGCCTCTAACGTTCAGGCTGGCTTTGCCTTATGAAAGGGCGTTGCATTGGTTTTATTTTTTTTTAACTATGATGTGCCAATCCGACACTCTTGAAATTTTTACAGATAATAGTTAAATAGTAAAGGATTATTCTTAATTTTTTCGGTGGGTGTCATCCAAAGGATTGTTGATAAAAATCATTTTCAAAGATTTATTTATTAATTTTCAACCCTTAATCATCGAATAAAAATTTTGAAAAAAAATATGATATACAACTAATGAATACCTACTATTTGCACTTTAATGTGATCAAATATCTTAAATAGTTTCCGAGAAAAAAAATGGTAAAGGTTTTGGGTTTTACCCTCATATCTCCCTTATCAGAGGGGGTAGGGGGTTGAAATTTCACACAATTGTTGTTTAGGCAAAAAGCATTATGTGATATAAATATCAACCGAAATTGTTACTGGGGTCGATTCACTATGCTTATACGGCTAGACCCTTTAGCCGAGCATCACTATACTTTGTTTCTTTATGCCAATGAACGACACTGTCCTGTTGCCATAAAGGGTATAGCCGGATAAGATGGTCAAAAGTGCCCCCAAACCAAATTCGACTTGCTATGAACCATTCGATAAGTGATCAAGAAAAACCAGTCTGTGCCAAGTTTCAACCCTGTATGTTATCTGGGAGGTAGTTGACCGTAAGAAAATAGATGTAATAACGAGAGGAAGTGAGATAGACGGTATACGTCGAGTAACGACGGTCGAGCTACGGGACTTCAAATGGAGTAAAACAAATGAGCATCCAGTAAAGAAAATTTCATTTGTAATAATTTTCATCTAACCTCAATGAAAATTGCACCAACAGGTTGTTCGGAATTTTCCAATTAAAATGAGTCCAAACACGACATAAATCGGTTTAATCTTACTTTAATTGGCTATTAATGGTTGATGGTAATTTTACACTATGTATGTAATTTCGCAGCAATACTCCTAAAGTTATAGCAAGCAATGAAAAGAGGTCGTGGTTACAGAAAGTATTTTACATGTGTAATAGTAAGATGATCTTGCGTTATGATACGTGTGTAAAGGAAATAGACGGACTGTTCATTATTTCCATAAGGTATGATCAGAGTTGGGTATTGTTTGAAATAATCTTGTGATAATTTGTGGTGTAAATTAACATTTACATTATTTATAGCAAAATAAATTGTTACCGCTCTTCTGTTCCCATGAAATAAAGAAGATTACTTATAAAGTTTATAATTTCGAAGTAAGTGAAGAAAATATTTTATTCAAAATAATTTGAAAAAGTGTTGTCATTTCTGTCGCAGTTTTGATGATCACCCAGTATCGTTAAACGCATATGCAGATGCATAGGCGACCAATTACTACCGTTTTGAATTTGGTACGCGGCGCCTTGACGCGGCTGATGCCGCGCACCGTCGATGTTGAACCAACGCGAATATCAGTAACGGCGCATGTGCGTAACGTAACCCACAGCGCTAATAGCGCCTCTAGCAGCAAAAATGTGTAATCCACGCTGACGTAGGCATGACGTAGATGTTAATGAAACTGATCGAAATTTATCGATGAAAAACAATTAATATCTCATAAATAAATGCACCGATTGAGGTGTTATTGGGCTCAAAAAAAGAGAAAGACAAGCCGAAGCAAATTGTGTTATTAGAATGAAGTTTAGTTGCGTACTTTTTCTGCAACAGCAAATTATTTTTTGCATAACGCTCAAAACGCTCTGCTTCGGGATAATATATGTACTCATTGTCAGTAGAGTCTCGCTGTCGCCGGCGGACCAGCCTTCGGCCTAAACTACTTGGCGTGAAGACTCTACCGAGTCTCCTGATACTCGGCTTGACATTTCTACCATTTTAAACAATTCATTAATAAACAATAGGAAACATTTTATTCGTTATTTTAGATGTCATAAACGAAGTTAAATAAACAAAACTGATGCCTAAAGAAATTTAATATCAAAATTGTTCAAGAGTAAACTATATAATCTGTTGTCTCATTAGTTTTATTATTTTGAAAAGTGACTAAATATACTATTTGCAAATTTCACAATTTATTTTGTTGCTATTATCTGTATTATGTTATTGCTTCATATGCATACATTTCTACAGACCATTTGTTATACCATAACCCTAGAAAGACCAAAGAGAGGCCTCATCAATGCCATGAAATAGCAAATATTGAAAATATAGTATTTTTATCAAAAATAAATTTCCAAAAAATTATTCATTCTCACTTATGCCTTTAAGATTTGAACTGAAAAGTGATTTACTACAACCATTCTTTAAAAAAGGAAACATTAGGAATAAATTGTTACCAGCGTTGGATCAAGAGGAGGTCTAAAGGAGTTTACAGCCTCGGACCCCATTTTCCAAGGGCCCCCGGCTAAGTCTTCCATTTACTGTGTCAAAAAATAATGCATGAAATTTTGTTTACTGTTACCCTTATTCTTTATGATTACATATTATTCAATTTAGTTTCAAATACATTTCAATTTTTAAACCAAGTTTACCAATCAAAAGGACCCTTGAAAGTTTGATAGGTCTCGATCCCAGAAATCCTAATCCAGGTCTATTATAAAATCCACATCAGCTTGGTTAACGCAGCATATTTCAAATAAAATTTCTTAAAATTATTAATTTCTGCTTGAACTACTCTAGTATATTTTAGGCCAAAAAATAAACCTCTATTTTATTCTTTTTCGTAGGTTCTGATCTGGCAGGCGAAACAGCAGCAGCTCTTGCGGCTTCCAGCATAGTTTTTCGCAACCAGGATCCCGAATACAGTGCCAAATGCTTAAAGCATGCCAAAGAATTATATAAATTCGCCAACAGATATCGTGGATTATACCATGAAGCAATTCGTGGAGCAGCCCAGTATTACGAGAGTACAGATTACGGTGACGAATTGGCTTGGGCAGCTGCGTGGCTCTTCAAAGCAACTAATGAAACGATTTACCTTGAAGATGCTAAACATCATTATCAACATTTCGACCTTAAAAACAGGCCAAATGAATTCTTTTATAATAAAAAAGACGCTGGTGTGCAGGTAATACTCTGCAGATTAAAATAGTAGGAATGGGTTGTGTTAACGGAAAATTATTATTACACTTATATTTAAAATATTTTTCTTTTTTTTTCCTTTTATATTTTAAAAATGATGCGCAAAAATGTGGAGTTGCTGGTTTTGTTAATTTTCATTTATGGTCTTAAATGGCAATTCGATACAAATCGGTACTGAATAAAATATTATTTAAAATAGTAAATAGTTCATTTTACTTCACAATTGTACAGATATTTTAATTGTAGCGTTCAAATATTATTACTAGCAGTGTGCGGATACATGAAATTTTGAGATTGGATTGACGATGAGTCGGGAAAAATCGGGCGGGATCGAGAGTTTATTGAAAGAGAATAATCTGAAGTATCTATATTGGGTCCCGAAAGTATCCTACTACATAAATCTTATTTAGAGCCTGAAATTTTCTGAACATGTACGAACGTAGGTATCAAATCATTAATAGTAGGATTCTTTCTGGACCCGATAGATACTCGCCCGATTTCCCCCGAGTTTTCCCGACCTGACCCGAGGTTCAGGTTCCCATCACTTTCGGACCCTGCACAATGCTAATTATTGCTGAATATAATAATACAAACTTTATCTATTTCATGGAGAAATTAATAGACAATATTGCTTATAGGATAATAATATTGCCGAATTACAATTAAAAATAAATTTATGCTGACATACATTATGATTTCTTCAGTTATAATACCACTTCGTTTTTCAGTTTACTGACATTGTTAAAAAAATATTTGAAATACATATTTAAAATATTAAATGCTATAAAGTTTGAATACAATAATATTGTAAACAGATGATGAAACTTTAGCAAATAAAATAATTTTAATAATCTTGTCAAAATTTCGCTTCCTATTTAGAATATTATTTTATTTAAACTTTGTAGTGTCTAACATTTTAAACACTTTGGTTTTCTAAATTTTACCCAGCTCAGATACAAATGATGCATGTCATTATTCTGGTCTTGGTTCCCTTTATGAATTCTGATTACACTTTTGATAACAATTTCCAATAACAATATTTCCAAATTCAAAAATATTATAAAATAATTTTTAACAAAAAACAAATCCGACTTCGAAATGCACTAAAAAGTGTCAAATAATTTCTATTTCATTTATACCAATATTCCATAGCTATTAATAATATCTACTTAATTGTTAAATAGGATACCAAATACATTTCAAAGTTTTCGGAGGCGGCGCAAAATTAAAAACTTTTCCTCTACTAAGAAGATCCTAACTCGGACGTCGGCAACCTATGATAAATCACCCATTTGATAATTTCAAGTAAATAATATTCAACGGGAATCAACAAACCCATTGCGAATTAACTATACTGCAGTTCACGAGTGACCGCATTTAACACGTGCAGCTAGTGACCTACTGTGGTCTAGGGAGATTTTTAATAGTGCGTGTGATTCCCCTTTACAGCTTGCTTCTTACTTTGCGTTCACATCATTTTTTTCTTGCGACAAATAATAGGAATTTCATTGTATCGTGAAACTTTACAATATCATCACCGATTATCAATTATCGTATGTCATATATTTCTGCCCGCCATTTATATGGTCGCAAAGTATAATAAGAAGCAAGCTGTAGAGGGGAATAACACACGTTATTAAAAATCTCTCTAGACCTAGTGAGCGGCGCGAGTTAAGTATGGTCTCTTGTGAACTGCAGTATAGTGCATGTACATCAGGAGGGCTGCTAATTTCTCATAAAATCGTTACAATTACAAATGTTTTCAGCCGGACCTATAATTTTTCTCTTACGACTTATTAATTACCAAGTTTGCCATACCGTAATCAAATCGTTATTAGCAGCATCGTTTGTTCGGGTATTTTTAATTTTGCGCCGCCTCCGAAAACTTTGAAATGTATTTGGTATCCTATTTAACGATTAAGTAGATATTATTAATAGCTATGGAATATTGCTATAAATGAAATAGAAATTATTTGACACTTTTTAGTGCATTTCGAAGTCGGATTTGTTTTTTGTTAAAAATTATTTTATTTCACACTTTTTAGTGGAACCTGTAGTATTTTTAGGATAGTGTAAGGTGATTTTGGGTTTCTGTTACTTAGCTAATAACCATAAACCTAAAAAATATTGACCAAATTTAAATGGTTAATAAACAACAAATTCCATAAATTTTTGCAAGTGGGGTCATCGCGGATATACAGAGTGTCACGCGACTACCTCTACAGCCGAAGAGGGATAATTGCTAAGGTGATTCTAAACAACTTTTTCCTTTTCCAAAATGTTGGTTAAGGCTTGTTTTTCTAGTTATTAACAAAAAACACCGACCAATCCGAGCGCGTACAGCGCGCGGGCTCAGGGACTGCAATGTCGGCTATGAAAACCGGGCCTGACGTAGGTCGCAAACGAACGGCTCGGCACCCCGTTGGCATAGCACAATAAAATAATTGGACGGGTAGAACATTTTTAGTCGTTGTTTAAAATGAATACGGAACCTAATCTCTTGTCGCCTATCATAATGTAAAAAAGGAAATTCTAAGGATTCTAAACAACAAATAAAAATGATTGAAATGGAATAGTTAATAAACGTTTGAATTGGAAGCCACGTTAATGATGAAAAATTTGAAAACAATATAAATGAAACTTTCGCATTCGTTCGTAAATTAACCTACTACGCTGAAAGCAGATAATTGTCACTGGGAATCGAGGAAACACGTTCGGTAGAACCGCAATTTTCATGATCGGGCCAGTGAACTCCCCTCATTTATTGCACTTAGGTGTGAATGATAGGCGAGGTGTTTGCTCATCGAATGTCCAGAATCGACACAGTGATCTAGTGGGAATTATTTGCTTTCAGTGTAGCAAGTTAATTTAGAAACGAATGGGTAAGTTTCATTTAAATTGTTTTCAAATTTTGCATCATTAGTGTAGCCTTTAATTCAAACGTTTATTAATTATACCACTTCAAACATTTTTATTTGTTGTTTAAAATCCTTAGAATTTCCTTTTTTACATTATGACAGACAATAAGAGATTAGGTTCCATATTCATTCTAAACAGCGACTAAAAATGTTCTACCAGTTCAGTTTTTTTATTGTGCTATGCCAACGGGGTGCCAAGCCGTTCGTTCGCGATCAACGTCAAGCCCGGTTTTCGTACCCGACACTGCAGTCCCTCGGACTGCGCTCTATCCGCGCTCGGATTGGTCGGTGTTTTTTGTTATTAACTCGCAAACCAAGCCTTAACCAACAATTTGGCAAAGGAAAAAGTTGTTTAGAATCCCCTTAGCAATCATCCCTCTACGGCTGTCGAGGTAGTCGCCGGACACCCTGTAATTCCTACCAAATATGAAAGGTTTCATCGCGAACGATACATTCCTTGCAGAGTAACATGAAGGCGTAGATTTTTTGCTATAATAGTAGTTATTAACAAATTCAATAAATTTTTGCAATTGAGATCATCGCGGATATACCTTTTACTAAATGCGAAAGTTTTCATCACAATCGATACATTCCCTGCAGCATAAACGCCAGAAGACATAAATGAAGCATTACGTTTTTTGCGATATAAGTCGTTAGGAATGAAAAAATACAAACATTTGTTTGCGAGACCAATCGGGAAATATACTCTACAAGATGCAAAATTTTTTATTCAATTGGTCCATCCGTATCGCGGTAATCGGCGAAAAATATAAGTCAAGCATTACGTTTTTTGCAAAAAAATCGTTAACAATGAAAAAAGGCAAAATGTTTTTTTAACTGGACCAATCGGGAGACATACTCCACAAGATGCAAAATGTTTCGTTCCGATTGGTCCATCCATCTTGGAGTAATCGGCGAACATACATTTAGAAGAAATAGTCGTTAGGAATGAAAAAATGCAAAACATTTTTTTTACTGGACCAATGAGGAGTTACACTCTACAGGACGCAAAAAGTTTCGTTCCGCTTGGTTCATCCGTCTCTGAGTAATCGGCGAACGTACGTCGCACGTTTTTTTGCAATAAAAAGCGTTCGGAATGAAAAAATGCAAAATGTTTTTTTAACGGGACCAATCGGGAGACATACTCTACCAGATGCAAAAGGTTTCGTTCCGATTGGTCCATCCGTCTCGGCGTAATCGGTGAACATACATAAAAAAAAAAAAAAAAAAAAAAAATACATACACATCGAATTGAGTATTCTCCTCCTTTTCGAAGTCGGATAAAAAATATTAAGCATTCTGTTCAATTTATTCCAAGTTAACTAGAAAAGCCTATCATAAAGATTATTTAAATTAGAAGAATAACGACCACCGTGTATATTATAAAAATGGCAACTCCATGACGCAAATTAATTCGGTTTTAGATTCTGAACGTTTGTAAACAAAAATTAGGATTCAACGAACGTAGGCTTTTGACATAAAGACTATTCTTCGATAAAAATAAAAAATAATATTTATTTTACATATAAACATACTTGGCGCTTGGTGTAATAAGAAGTGCCATTGTGGTGTTTGTGAAAAAATGAACGAAATCCTATATTGAGTTTGTAAATAACTGTATATTCTATATAAAAAATAACAATTTAAAATTCTATCCAGAAGTGATATATGCTAATGCATATTAGCATACGTTATTTTTGTAAAGACTACAAATAGCACGAGCTTTAATTTTCTACCTTTGTGTTAAAAAAGAAATTTGAAACAACAGAAACTTCTGTGTCAAAAATTATTTGAACATTAATTTTGTAACATATTTTCAACTGCTAATATCTCAACTTTATAAATACCTATACAGTAAAAGCTGGATATATGCAACAAACATTGGGACCCAGACGTTGCATATATCCAGTCGAGGTGTCTAATCTCGGGTTACACGCGACGAGCAGCCAAGCGTGAACGTAGATAAGGACAGATAGTGGTGGAAAGAGAGAGGTCCGATGATCAAAGGAAAGAGCAGAAACGTATCGGTGTGACTAATGCTAATTCTACTATAAAACTTTTTTATTTTTGACTTTTTTTTACTGAAACTTTTACTAACGCATTGGTGAAATTTTTCGGATTAAAATGAATCCAAACACGATATAGTTTGAATTATAATTACATGCTAAAATTGATGTTAAAAGTCGGCGAAAAGCAAAGGAGGATTGGAAATGAAAACCGGTTGCGGTGTCGGCTCGGGTTTCAAACGTTGCATATATCCAGCCGAGGTGTCGATTTTGGGCATTTAATGTTGCATATATCCAGCCGAAGTGTCGATTCTGGGCATTTAAACGTTGCATATATCCAGTCTTGGTGTCGATTCTGCGTCCGTACAAATCGTTTGTACCGTGCCGCGATACCTATTCTACGTTCGTACACAACATGCGACGTGTTGCATGTTGCATGTTGCGTGTTTGATGTATCTTTAATGTACGGCCTGCCTTATACATATGTACAGTTTTATTATTATTTTAATAAATAAATATATTTCAAATCATATCGTGTTTGGTACCATTTTAATCAGAAAAATCTCACAAATGTGTTAGTAAAAGTTTCATTAAGAAAAAGTTAAAAATAAAAAAGTTTTATCGTTCAATTAGTATTAGTCACACCGATTACGGTCGGATCATATTACACGGTTTCCTCGCCGAGCGGCTCGGTTCGGCTTAGGGGGATCCCCCCAAGTGGAGGGGATAGCGATGTTGCATATATCCAGCCAAACTTTTGTTGCATATATCCAGCTTTTACTGTATTGGTACTTCTTGCACCAAGCCATAGATTTATATCCGTTAAACATGAATGAAAATTGAAATATATGCTGGTTTTGCAGGTTTTATTGGCGCAACTGACAAGAGAGCCAAAGTATCAGAAGGCGGCACGTGCTTTTTGTGATTTCTCGGTGCACCAGCAAAAACGGACATCAAAGGGATTGCTGTATATCGATAAATTTGGCACCCTGTGCCATGCAGCAAATGTCGCGTTCGTTTGTCTGGAAGCAGCCGATTCACCTGATATTGGGAATTTTCAGGAATATCGCGACTTTGCCGAGCAACAAATTTATTATATGCTCGGTGGAGGAGGTAAGTAGCATTTGATACAACAATGTGAAAATTCTGATACGAGGTAAATTCAATTGAATATTCTATGGTGAATCAAGACAAGAAATACAGTCAAAGAAAACTATAAGTAATCAATTATTACGATACGTTTGCTATAATGATACATTTTCAGGTACATACGTATATTAGTAGCGTAATCATAATTACTGAAAAAGAAAGGGAAGGGGGACAAAAATTTATTTCTTATGCCTTATTAGTACTGTAAAAATATTAAGTTTAATTGTCCTTCCGCGTTTATCACTAGGCAAAATAGGCTCCACTGCAAAGAGTTCGCATAGAACTATTTGTCATTACTAGACTGTGAATTCCTTTTTCTAGAAATATGTTAAAAAGTATTATTTTACAATGTAAATTTTATACATTTAGGCTTCAACTTCTAAATTTAATTTAAAAATATCGGCCCCGAGTTTCATTTGTATATCTAGGGCTCGAAAAGCTCTAAGACCCGACACTGCTATAAATTGAAAGTATATTACGAATTATATGAGACTTATTGTTTTTTGACATTTTATAACATTTGTACAAATTAAGTTTTTCACTTTGTTATCATCAGTTATTAAAATGAATAGATACTTTTTTTTAAATATTCACAAATATTATAAATCTATGATACTCAAATAAAAAGTACCACCCTCTGGTGTCGATAATCTTTCTAATATATCGTTAAGGGCACCATTTTAGTCGATGGTTATTGTTTACTAAAAAGTTGTACATAAAAGTATTAACGTCGGTATCAACGGTAATGAGAACAATGTTGTATACGGATCTCACTGTTCCATGCCAAATCGATCACTTTTTGACGTCACCATCGGTGATTTTGTTCTAAATGAAATATATTGTAGTCCATATGAAATTAGGGCAATTTAAGTCATCGCTTTGTTTTTTTTTTCATTTAGAGTTTAGAGTCGCATCAACATCAAAAGTTACTAGCGATTGTCTATTAAGTTAAGCGCTCATTATGGATTACTAATTAAGAGGAAAGGAGAAAAGGAGTTGTTACAGTCTATTGAAAATTTCGATGGTCTTGCAGAATGTGATCAGTGTATTCTAGTAGGATGTTGAAGTGATTGCTTCGGTGAGGTCGTCATTAATATTTAGTCTTCTTCGTACTTCGTTGTATTTCCTGCCATCTAGAATAATATGGTTGATAGCTGTAGGTTCGTTACATATCTCGCATAGCACAGGCGGGTTGTTATTAGAAATGTAAGAATGTAAGAGTTTGATGTGTCCGGTCTTGATTCGAGTTACTGCGGTTTATTGTCTCCTATTGAAACTGGAATTAATTGTAAGATCGTAGAAGTTGTTGGTTGACCTATGGAGTACGCCTGCTCTGTAATTTTTCCATGCCCGATTTCACGATTGTTCCCATAATAACTTTAGGTGTTTATTGTATAGAGGTTGGCTATATGGTTACCCCCACGTATGTCCATTTGGGTGGAGGCCCACACTATAGTCATTGTTTTTCCGTATTTAGCTAATTTGTCGTATAATTCTTGGATTACTATGTGGATTTCCATGGACTGCTTCAGGTTTTGGGTCTTTAGGACGGTGAAGAGAGAGTCAGAAAAAATGATGAATTCAGAGTGAAGGGATTTATCAATTAATTCAAGAGCTGAGAGAAGCTCGTAAGTTTCGGCTGCGCGGATGCTATTGAAAAGGTTCATTCCGTGTTTAATTGTTTTCCCTTGCGTACAGACGACGCGCGACGGTCCCTGTTCCAAGATTACTCTTGGAGCCGTCGGTGTACACGTGGGTGGATCCAGGATATTTGGAGGATAATTTAGCTTTAGTGTTCAAATATCTTAAATAGTTTCCGAGAAAAAAAATAGTAAAGTTTTGGGGTTTTACCTTCATATCTCCCCTATCAGAGGGGGTAGGGGGTTAAAATTGCACACAATTGTTGTTTAGGCAAAAAGCATTATGTGGTATAAATATCAACCGAAATTGTTGCTGGGGCCGATTCACTATGCTTATACGGCTAGACCCTTTCTCAAAAACTGTATGTATAGGAGCAAAACGGGTTGCAGATTTGTAATCAGCGTACAAAACACTATAAGAATCACCTAGTGGGAATCGAAAAATAAATTCACTGTTGACAGTGTAATTTTTTCAAACTCGATAAATCACTTTATAATGTTGAAAAATGTAAACAAATTCTTTTTTTGCGTATTTTTTTTCGATAATGGGCCGAAGTAATTTAAATTTTCAAAAAAAAAGATGGTCATATTTTCTGGAATTTCCCCTTCAAGATGAGCCCTTTAGAAGGATAGAGAATTGAAAATTGATGTCACAATGAGCTGGAGAAGGACTCCCCCTGGCGGTGTACCGTCGTTTCAGGTAGGCGAGTCGTACGCTCCTCTATTATGGCGGATTGTCCATATCGCTGGTGTCACAACAATACCAGCAGACCTCGTATACGATGAATGGCCCTGTTTATATTTCGAGAACTACAGTATGATTCTCTCGCTACGCAAGGCAAAAGCCGTGCCGCACAATCGAACCCTGCTGTTTTTGCGGGTAAAGAGACCCAGAGGCCATATCGCCGGACCCAAAACTGCTTTGTGTGTGTTTATGGCTGAGACGAAGACAAGAAACGGAACAGCAGGGGTTCCATTGCGCGGCACGGCTTTTGTCTTGCGTAGCGAGAGAATCACCCTGTATATTATTAACCACTTTTGGCTAACGTCACCATTTTAATTAAGTTAGATTTAACCCTGAAGTGATGCGGAAGAGATCCATTTGTTCATTAACAAAAATTTGGACGTTACTAAAAACGGATAATCTGTTTATTACATAGCGATAGAAAGCCACTGGTAAAGAATCTTTGGTAATTATTGAGATTAGGTTACACTTCACCGATTTTGTTGAAATTTAAATATATTGTAAAACTCAACATTTTGAACAACTTTTTCCTATACATATAACCACCGCTCGGCCTTAGTTTTCGAGATATTTTCGAAAAACTGTCGAAACTAACCCATTGAATTCTGGCCATCCGTGTGCGTTGGTGACAACGTACGCATTAGTATGGGCTCGCCGCTTTTCTACTGTTTCTGCAGGCAACAGCACAGCGACCGATTACCATTATAGTAAAAGCTGGATATATGCAACAAACATTGGGACCCAGACGTTGCATATATCCAGTCGAGGTGTCGAATCTCGGGTTACACGCGACGAGCAGCTAAGCGTGAACGTAGAAAAGGACAGACAGTGGCGGAAAGAGAGAGGTCCGATGAACAAAGGAAAGAGCCGAAACGTATCGGTGTGACTAATACTAATTGAATCAAAAAACTTTTTTATTCTTGACTTTTTTTTAATGAAACTTGTACTAGCCATTGGTGAAATTTTTGTGATTAAAGTGGTACCAAACACGATATAGTTTGAATTATAATTACTTGCTAAAATTGATGTTAAAAGTGGCGAAAAGCAAAGGACGATTGGAAATGAAAACCGGTTGCGGTGTCAGCACGGGTTTCAAACGTTGCATATATCCAGCCGAGGTGTCGATTCTGGGCATTTAAACGTTGCATATATCCAGCCGAGGTGTCGATTCTGGGCATTTAAACGTTGCATATATCCAGTCTTGGTACCGATTCTGTGTCCGTACAAATCGTTTGTACCGTGCCGCGTTACCTATTCTACGTTCGTACAAATCGTTTGTACCGTGCCGCGATACCTATTCTACGTTCGTACACAACATGCAACGTGTTGCATGTTGCATGTTGCGTGTTTGATGTATCTTTGGTGTACGGCCTGCCTTATACATATGTACAGTTTTATTATTATTTTAATAAATAAATATAATTCAAATCATATCGTGTTTGGTACCATCTTAATCAGAAAAATCTCACAAATGCGTTAGTAAAAGTTTCATTAAGAAAGAGTTAAAAATAAAAAAGTTTTATCATTCAATTAGTATTAGTCACACCGATATTACGGTCGGATCATATTACACGGTTTCCTCGCCGAGCGGTTCGGTTCGGCTGAGGGGGATCCCCCCAAGTGGAGGGGATAGTGATGTTGCATATATCCAGCCAAACTTTTGTTGCATATATCCAGCTTTTACTGTATATGTATACTTTGTGTACATACACTGAGTCCCAGCGAAGTGGTCGCAGTGAAGTTGGCTACACATTCACACCGCGTCGTCGGCACCTCGCCCATCGGCTCACCGACGCGGCGTGAATGTGTTAGTGCGCCAACTTCGATGGAACTCAGGGTACTTCTGCATTTATGATTTCAATGTTTCGTAGCTATGATGGCAGCTGGGAATTTAATATAGCCTAACCTAACCCAAGCTACTCTACCTAATCAGTGAATTAAGTTAAGTGAGGGTAAAGCGATATACACACATACTGAGATTCGAAATCATGAAAATTAGTTAAATTTAATTTTTAAGCCCACTCGTAATATGTATATATTGATGTCGGTCGCCGTGTTGCTGCCTGCAAAAACAGTAGAAAAGCGGCGATCCCATACTAATGCGTACGTTGTCACGGACACCCACGGCCAGAATTCAATGTGTTAGTTTCGACAGTTTTTCGAAAATATCTCGAAAACTAAGGCCGAGCGGTGGTTATAAAAAATTGTTTAAAATGTTGAGTTTTACAATATATTTAAATTTCATCAAAATCGGTGAGGTGTAACCTAATGTCAATAATTATCGAATCTTTTCTAAAATTTATAATTGGACCTGACGGTTTCATGAAACCATTATCGCACCGCGCCGCGCCGCGCCGTAACAAATCTGCTGACACTAGATATTCATTTTGGTTTCCTTTTAAGTTTATTTTATTACCATTTTCCTTCTTCTGCCGACTCGACAGAATCTGAACAGTAAATAGAAGGTATGATGGGATTTCCTATACATTTGCCTATCCCTTTTCCAAATGTTCAGTTTCCGTGACATTTTCCGTATTGTACATTTCTTATTATAGAAGAGTGAGTAAATTGCCGGAACTGGTGCGTCGGAAGTGCTGTAATTCTTTTAAGCGAACGGCACACATCAGAATTTCGTGAAAGAACTTCGTAATATCACATTATAAAATCACGTAATAAACAGATTATCCGTTTTTAGTAATGTCCAAATTTTTGGCATGTTTCCTAGAACCGAGCGAGTTTTATGGTTTTATTGATTTCAATATTGATTTCAAACCGATGACCGAACAAATGGATTTCTTTCGCATCACTTTAATGTTAAATCTAACTTAATTGAAAAGGTGTCGTTAGGCAAGAGTGGTTACTAGTATAGTTCTCGAGGTATAAATAGGGTCATTTAATTGTATACGAGGTCTGCTGATATTGCTTTGTGTTAGCGCATTTGAATTACGCGCCGGTTTTGTAAGCAGCTGTGACTGTTTGGTGTTTAATCTTTTTTTTTTTTTTTTTTTTTTTAAAGGATAAAAGTTTTTTTTTATACAAAAACGATTGTAAGAAGTTCAAGCGTTATGTTGTAATTTAAATATTCTTTATTTTTCTTTAATAAAGTGAACAAAGTTATATAAGCAAGAACACTTTGAGACCAGCAGTATAGTACACCGCCAGGGGAGGTCCTTTGCCAGCTCATTGTGACGCCAATTTTCAACTTTCCATCCTTCCAAAGGGCTTATCTTGAAGAGGAAACTTCAGGAAATATGACCATATTTTTTTTCAAAATTTAAATTACTCCGGCTCATTATCGAAAAAAAAAGGCAAAAAGAAGAAGTTGCTTACATTTTTCAACATTATACAGTTAATTATCGAGGTTGAAAAAATTATTTTATAATAGCCGAATCCTTTCGGAATAAAAGAAAAGAAAATGTAGCTCAATCAGACAAACAATTACAGAGATAAAAATTCGTAAGTGAAGCACGTTTTTGCCAAAATGGGCGAAAATTGCAAACTTCGTAGGCCCATAATTTCTAAACAAATTCGAAACCGGTAAAATGATGAATTAAATGCCCCTAATTTCACATGGACTACAACATACTTTATTTAGAACAAAATCATCGATGATGACGTCAACATGGTCGATTTGGCATGGAATACATCTTATAGATATTGGATTTATCTTTACGAACAGTTTTGATTTGTGTTAACCTAACCTAACCAAATTTTTTTACAATTTGTTAGGTTAGGTTAAATTAGGTTAATATAATTTATCCATCGAAATACTACATCTTTCGAACCGATGTTAATACAGCTTTCCGCTGACAATCAATCTCATGAAAATAACGCGATCTGATTGGTTATGCTTCATCTCAGCTCACATGTGACATTGGTCGTGATGATTTCTTTGATATTGATCAAAGCGATCATATCTACTAATTAGGCTCGTGTAATGTGTGCATAGTAAGTACTTACTCCTTCTTTCTCTATGCCGTTCCGTAAGACTTTTTGTGAGCGAAAGTATATATCTTTTCTAAACTTTTTTCCTTTATAACCGTTTAATAAACAACGCCTACCATGTAAACCCTTCGCAACACTACTCTGGGTGATGACTTTGCCAACATATTAAAAAAAAGCATTCTGATCGAAGGATACTATCTTGAAAATATTTACCAAATAATATTATAGACTACTGAATAAACTATTTCTTCAAATGTCAAATAGGGAGGAGTTACGTCGTTGGTTGGGGTCGAAATCCACCGAAGCAGCCTCATCACGCAGCTTCATCCTGTCCGGATAGGCCAGCTGTTTGCGGATGGTCCGAGTTTGACAAGGATGCTCCAAATCCTCAGATCCTTTACGGTGCCCTGGTCTCTGGACCTGACGAAGCAGATAAATTTCATGACCACAGAGAAGATTACGTATACACTGAAGTCACTTTGGATTATAACGCCGGGTTTACGAGCGCTCTTGCTGGACTATTGCAATTGCGGGTAAAAAGCATCGCGTAACTCGCGATGACATTTTATTAATGACATCGTATCGTTCATACTTTTCATCACCAACTATTTCACTTTTCGAAAACTGTTATATATGTTATAATACTGCACGAAGTGTTACATAAGCTGTGAACTGAAATTAAGTAACATTTTCAAAAGCTTTGTGGCATTCGCGGAATTAGAGTTATCTTGGGACTTGGGCCAGATCCCAAATATTTCAGAATTCTATAATTTTCTGGAATTTTCGAATTGTAGATTTTTTTACTTTTGAAATTTTAAAATAACGAAATCTTGATAATCTGGAGTTTTTCGTTTCTGAAGATCTGAAATTTTAGAATTTTCTAGTTTTAAAGTTTTGAAATTTGGAAATTTTAGAATTTTTTATTTCTGGAATTTTGGACTTCGCGATTTCTAGAATTTTAGAATTACGGAACTTTCGACGTTTGCAATTTTTGAATCTTTGACTTCTGGAATTTTAGAATTGTGAAACTTTTGACTTCTGAAATTGTGGAATTTTCTATGTTTGGAACTAAGGGATTATAAAATCTTGATAATCTGAAATTTTAGAATTTTTGGATTCTGGAATATTGAAATTTTCAAACTTTGGAATAAAGAGGGATTCAATCTGCATTTTGTAAGGCCCTTCTGGCCCATACCTAATTACGCCAATGCTCTGTTGTTTTAAAAAAAGATACTAAATTTGAAAATAAAATGGATACATTGTACATTAATTTGAGTATAATTTTATAACGTTCTGTGGGACTTTTAAATGAGATTTTAGTGAAAGTGTAATAATATTGGGAATATTTAGAGAGACAGAGAAATGATTGAACTTCTTATAAAAGAAGAAAGGCTGGTACAGAATTCAACATTAATAAATAAATAGAGTAATGTTGCTTTAACTGGTAGAAATTTAATAGTTACTAATGTATTGACGTGATAGATGGTTTTAACTTTGATTAGATTTCAGTATTGTAAATTGTATGAAAATACTTATGTTTTGAAATTATGTTACTATAGATGTTCGATTTTATAAAAATGATATTCTAGTCTGTATATTGGTGTTTTAAATGATTTTATTCGAATTTAGAATGTACATAATGAAGATCTAATTATAAGTTTAATAAGCGACTAGGGTTTTATTCTGAACGAATGATAAAATTCGTTCAATAATTAATTTAATTAGTAGCAGCAAGTGTATTAATTATTATTCTATATGGTGAATTATAATCAAGGAAAATCAGCAAAATCAAGATATATTTAAGAAATTGTGAATGTTGCATACGCACAAGGGCGGCTTTACCGCATCTCTCACTCTGCACGAGATCCCCCTCCCCATAAAAATCTTCGAGCCGAAAGATGGTACACTTTTTATTACACATGTTTAAAAATCAAATTTTAGCCCTTCCGTGCTGCATAAGTATATTTTGTTTTCAAATTATGTGAAACTGTAATATAGAAAATATTAATAAAAAGTTTTCTGGAAGTTAGAATTCAAATTTGTGTAATTAGTTTATTATTTTACTGTAAATATGTTTACAGAAATATTAAAAGGCGACTATCATTTTACTTAAAACATTTCATTATACAATTTTTTTACTTTATCATACTTCTTATCCAATTATAGAAAATTACACAATTTGTCTTTAAAATATTGCCAAAATAGAAAGATTTTATTTATTAATTAAATTATATTTCTTTTTAAAACAAAAGAAGTCATATAATTAATGATTTAAATATTAATTATTAAGAGTAAAACTATTAATTTTAAGAATTTTAGCTTCGTGTTTAGTGACTAATTACTCCAATGCCTACTAATGCATTCAAAATTGTTAAATATTCCCTTCCTACTAGAAATAATTAATAATTAATAATTAATTATAATCAATAAATAATTATTGATAGTGTTACGTCCCGGCGGAAAATTTGAAATTTATCCGCCTTGCGTTCCTTATCAAGCCCTTTTGGGTTACGAGAATCTCTCATGTAAAGGGTGTACAAGGAAGAGTTTGAGCTTAATCCTTTTCAACAGTTTACGTGACCCTCCTTGAAACTATCGTCGCCAGCCATAGTAATAGCTATAGAATACAGTAATAACGCGCAAAAACTCGGGTTAGCTCGAAAGCGAGAGAGACCCGTAGCATAACACCAGCGCTACGCAGTTAGCCAATGCTTCGCATTCCGGGAATTTCCCTCGCTAACTGCGTAGAAACGGGAAAATCGTAATGATTCTTTTGTTGGAGAACCCTTTCTCTCCCTATTGCACAAAGCGTCAGGCGGTCCAACAAGGATCATCATTACCTGATTGTAATGATAGTATAAGAGAGTGGATGGATGAAAACGAATTTAAACAATGAAAGTAAGAATTGAGAACCCTTACGAAAGCGAACGTCGCGAACGTTCGACCGCCGCGCCGTTCGAAAATCAAGGGTCGTTCGAAGCAATAAACACTATTGTGTCGAAATCCTAAGAACTGCCTAGCGATAACGGCAAATTTTGAACAAAGAAACGTTCTCGAAGGAACGTTCGCCAGATTTAGAATTGTTTAAAATTCATAGAATGCGAAATGCCGAATTCATCAAGGCGATAGTTTAATATGCGATAGATTGTTGTAAAATGCATAATTCGCCACGGCATTACAACCACCGTAAGCGCATTGTCCGCTTTTAGACATATTAAATTAGACTATCTTTATGCAAATCAGGAAAATGTATAATTTTGATCATGATATACGGATGACGGTTTCCTTATCAAACCTATATTTCAATTTCAAATTTCATTCTACAATTCAATCAGATCAATGGTTATGTCTCGATTAAATGCAATTAATTAATTATACATATAAAGAGAAATACTGCGTAGTTTCTGAAAACCGTTGAAACTATCATGGCGACGAACTAGAAAAGAAAGGAACACCAAAGAAAGGGGATGAAAGATCTTCGTCTAGCTCGCGCGTCTTAGCCAATCACCGGGCACGCGACACTTCCGAAAACGGGCTACGATTCGCCAAACCGTCCCCTCCAAGGACGATGTTCGCGCGACGGGCTCTTCGGCCATCGATCGCGCACGAAATTTGTCACTCTTGATCGATCAATCGTAAGTACGTGATCGGGAGCTCGTGTGTCCGGGAGACAGAGTTGTTCGGAATTTCGTGATAGATTTCCTCTGCGGTAAAGTCCTCCGCGTAGCGAGGCAGACGGCCGTGGTAGTTGAAATAATCCGATTCTTAACAAGGACTCACAGACGCGCACGTTTAATCTTCCTTCAACCTAAAATTTCTATCTTTTCTTTCTGATTTTAAATCGTTTGCTCGCGTAGTAATTTCGTATTAACTTCATTCCGCGTAAATCATATTAATCGTAATTCGTAACTCGTTATTCGTTTGTCTCTCGTCGACGTACTCGTCCGCTTTAATTCGTTTCCGCCGCGACAAGTGCAGTGATCGACATCTTACCGTTTCTTTGGTGTTCCAGATCATCAAGCGAATACACAGAATCTTAGCAAGCGAAAATTATAATCTTGTATTGTATTAAACAGCGTAACGGTAAGTCGTTTCAATTACATTTTTCGATCACGACGTTATCAATTGGCAAAACGGACGATCTGGTCCAGCCCCTCGGGGTTACGAGAATTTCTCAGGTCAGATCGTTCCACCGTACCAGGTATCAACTGATTTCAGTATTAATTTTTCGTTTATTACAATCTCGAAATTCCAATTTCTCTTTCCGTCATCAAAAAGGGCACCTTAGTCCAGCTCTTTCGAGAGTTACGAGAATTTCTCAGGCTGGGTGTACCGCGGGCGGAAACCGCCAATTTTATAGTTAAATTTGGAAAGCGAAATTGTGATAATCACTTTTACGTGTCCGGTAATATACTCGTCGGTTTCAATTGTGATATTAGAGCGTTTATACAATCATATTTTGTTAATTAATTTTAAGCATCTTTACATTTGTTCACAATTTTTGCAAAACTGGTATCTTCTCTACTAACGGAATTTCTAAATTATTACACTCTCAATTTTGGCATTTCACGGTTACCAATTATCTGATTTTCATTCACAATTAAACCAGTTTCATTTAGTTAAACAGTTTCAATTTATTTCAAACACAGCTCACACATTTCAGCCAAACACGCCTACCAACTCACACAGGTTCAAGGAGGGACCGTACAGGACCAAGCGTTGAACGAACTCAACGAAAGGCTAATAATTATAACTTCTTAACATCTTATCAATTTTGTCTTTCGTCTTTTAATTTGTCGAGAGCGTTAACACGCTCGAGACTGGTGGCGGCGATACCAACCATCGCGCTAAAATAGGAAAGTAGGTATTAGGGGTTGATTAATTGAGTGATTAATTGGTAGGTATTAATTGAAATTTAACCACCCTACATCCTCCAATTTTTATCTTTCCTTTTTTACGTTGCGCCGTCGCACGCGCAATGTAACAATAGAATGTTTGCAAAAGCTATATATCAAACTTTATACTATAACTGAGTAATTAATGTTCCTTAGACACTATTCTGAAATTTGAAATTTTAGACAAAAGTTTCACTGATAAATACCTATGAAAAATCCTACTGAATCACTTTCATTTTTCGAAAAAACGACTCTTAAAATTGCTTACAGTATTGCCTACAATTTTCTTTTTTCTTTTAATTTAACGAGGAGTAGGGGAAAGGTCGGCGAGTCTGTGCCGGACGGCATTCCACGTGAGTTGTCCCTATTAGCGAAGACTAATTTACTGAGAAATTAGTAATATGGTATTGCCGACCTTACGATTAGTAGTAGTTTCACATGTATAGCTATAATGATAGCGGAAAAATTTTCAGAAAGCGGGCAGTCGGCAGGTCTAAGAGAATCATCGCCTAGCAGTAGCATGTATTGTCCAGGACTATGTCATCTGCATCGGGAATCGAACCTTTGTTCTTGTAGGGAATATTATCCTCCAGCTATGTCCCAGTAAGACTGACTGTTAGGTACGTCGCTGGGTGTAAAGGATTCGGGTGCCTCCAATATAATATACACCTTCCTTAAACAGGCTGCTTTATTATAAAATGGTTACAAAAAGATGTCCGGAATGCGATGTGCATCTTGCGTGCACGTGAACGAGACTGGTGCTACTTTCCGGTCTCTCCCAAAACAAAAAGAAGGCGAAAACAATTGACACGACGCAACGTCATAATGCCCGCGCTGCTTCAAACGCGCGACACTCTAACACTGACCAAAGAGTTTTCGTGGTTGTCTACTTGATAGTTAGAAATTAGCTCTTTTATGAAGTCGGAGATTCAAGGAATCGAGGTTGTTGAATCGCCTTGGCACGATTCAACAAAGCTAAATTACACGCCATAAACCGACTCGTAGCGGCAATAAGTTTATAAAGCCATTGACCATTTTTCCTTTCAAAAATATTTTCGCGACGACCCAAGTCTATTGCCTTGAGACCAGCATGTTAATCTTCGATTCCGTTATTGTCAACCATCAGTTCTCAGGTCAGAGTGCTTCCTCAGTTTATAGTCTGCTACGGGTTTTCCCGGGGCATACGGAAATTCTCGCGCGTCAACGTTTACCTAGCCAGGGGTGACCACCGTTGGCGTGAGGGCGGTCATTATGTAAAACCCTCAACCAATCGCATGGCTCACCCCCTTCCAAATTTTGACTTCCGAGGTGATCTCGATGGAAATTTTCAAACC